CTTATTAAAATGTCACATTATCTGATAATGTTTCTTCCATTATTTTAGCAAGAGCTAAAACGTACATTGCCGTTGAACAATGAATTTTTACGACATGTTCGATTTATTCATCCATTTTTACGACAGCACGAATCTACTCGTAATAGTATGATGATTGTGGCACGTGAATTACCTCATTTATTGTCCGACGATGATCTTGATCAATTGAGTGCTGAATGGCGTTTATACGAAAATGAAACCATTCCAAATGAATGGTACGAGCACAAAAGCATCGGTGTTGATTCTCAAGAGATCATCAAGTATCATCCTGTCGATTATTATTGGAAATACATCTTCGCAATGAAGAACAGTTCAGGTAACACCAAGTTTATTATTTTATCTAAAATCGTCAAGAGTATTTTATCATTATCACATGGGAACGCCGACGTGGAACGTGGCTTTAGCGAAAATGCGTCGCTTGTTACTGATGATCGATCGTCCTTAAGTAATGCTTCCATCAATGGACTTCGAGCAACTAAGGATGCCGTCAAGTTTTATGGATCAGGAAAGGTACACGAAGTAAGTAAGACAATTAATCAATAGCTTATTATTATTAATGTGATTGTTACTTGGTAGGTTCCTATTTGTAAAGGCCTTCTTGATAGTGTCAAAGATGCCCATTCTCGTTATCATGCTGATCAGGAAAAGATGCAGCGATTAATTAATGAAAAGGAAGAAGCTGAATCTGCTGCAAAATTACTCAAGGACAGAGAACTTCTCTTAATTGAAAAAGAACAGAAACTTATTGATGAACGCAATGTCTTACAACGTGAATTGGATAATGCGTCGAAAATGCTTGATGAAGGTAACTCACGTCTTGAAGCTGCTGTTGCAACCAAAAACTTTGGTGATATTGAAGTGGCACAATTACTCATTGGAGGTGCTAACAAGAAACTGGACGCGTTAAAGACGCAACTGAATGATAACAGCGAACAGATGAATCAACTTCGAAAGAAAGTGAAAAAATGAAGGAAAGCATGGCATGAAAAAAGTTGAAATTTATAGATTAGTAAACCTGTAAATAAATAATTTATGTTTTGAAAGAGTGATTGTTTCAATAAATTTATAGATTCGTAAACTTGTAAATAAATAATTTATATTTTTTGACAGAGTGATTGTTTCAATAAATATTCTTTTCCACATATGCAGAAATCTCAACAAAGTACGATTGCCTGTCGTCGATATAAACATTCTCCTAGCATAACAGATAAAAAAGAAGGAAAAGAAGGATTTTTATGAAAAAGAAGGATAAAGAAGGATGATCTTTAAAAAAAGGAAAAAAGAAGGAAAGAAGGAGGTTTGCGAGGCCTGCCGATGTTTTATGACTTTTACGTATGTGATGTGTTTTTATTTCTCAACAGTTTAGAAAATTCAATTAGTTACACAATAGAAAAAAAGTGTGTCATTTGAGGTCACTCGACCTTTTTTCATTTTATTTATATTAGTATGCATGTTTTAGTTCAAAATCTCTTCTTAAGTCAATTCTGCAAGCAATTTTTTTGTTTTTCTCTTTTTT